CCTCCTCCTCCTCCTCCTCCTCTTTTCTTCCCAGCCCTGGAAATCCCATCCTGCCGGGAGTTCCCGCGCTCTCAGCGCTTTTGTCGCTGCTGTCAGGGCGGGGAGCGGTGGCTGGGAGGGGGTGGTGACAGCGCTGTCCCCGCGGTGGCACCGGTGGCACCGAGCCCTCCCGGTGGCTTTGCTGGAGTCTCCGGCTGCGTCTCCATCCTGTTGTTGTTGTTGTTGTTGTTGTTGTTGTTGTTTGGCTCTCGGGGGTGCTCGTACCTGTTCCGGCTGTTGGTCACTGTCACAGCACCTTGCTGGGGAAATGTCACCTGGGCAGCGAGCCCTGAGTGTCCCCCGTGCCCGCTGGTGGCACTGGAAGTGGCTTTGAGCGGTGCCTGTGGCACTGGTGGCCACAGGGACACGGCTTTGGTGGTGGCACTGAAGTGAGGGCATGGTGGCCACAGGGATATGGGTTTGGTGGAGGGGACAGAGAGGCTGGGGACAGGGACGGGGACAGAGAGGCTGGGGACAGGGACAGGGACAGCCAGGCTGGGGACAGGGACAGCCAGGCTGGGGACAGGGACAGCCAGGCTGGGACAGGGACAGAGAGGCTGAGAAAAGGGACAGGGACAGCCAGGCTGGGACAGGGTCAGAGGGACAAGGACAGGGACAGCCAGGCTGGGGACAAGGACAATCCCCGGAGCTGCAGGAGGGCGATGGCAGCGACCCAAGGGCTGCTCCTGCCCCCCGAGCTCTCTCAGGTTCTCCCTTTGGGTCTCTTTTTTTCTCTCCTTTTTTTTTTGGGAACAAAAGCTGCTGTTTGATGATTGACTGAGCTGCCCGTGCTGAGCAGAGGGGGTGAGGCCTGCCCAGAGCTGTTTAAGTGGGTGAAGGTCTCTGACCTCCTCCATAAAGAGAAAACAATCCGAGAAATTGAAACACGGCTGAGAAAAGCCATGCACAGTCAGAACATCCAGAAAATGTCCTGTAAAATAAAGAGGAGCAAAGGGGCGCTGAAACTGGTTGTGTGGGGGCTTGAAAAGGTTTTAAAGAAAATATCTCCTGGGTTGGGAGAGAGGTTCTGGTCCCAAACCATCCATGCAGGTTTCCTTGGAGGTTTTTCCTTTCAAAATCAGGCTCTGGGGTCATCCCTGACTGGGCAGCCAGGAGGAGCATCCCAGATTTTTGGAGGTGTTGCACTTCCAGCTCCATGCGTGGATGGTGGGATCCACAGGGATCATTGATCCAACTCCTGCCCTGCACAGATCCCCCAACATTCCCACCCTGAGCATCCCTGGGAGAGGTGTCCAAAATCCCGGAGCTGCTCAGGCAGCCTCGGGGCCGGGACCATTCCCTGGGGAGCCGGGCAGTGCCAGCACCCTTTGAATGAGGAATC